AGAAAGAACTTAAAAAATGGAAATGTAGGATGTTCGCCTGCCACCCTCACTCATAAGTTCCAGAAGTAAATAGTGCTTGGAATTTTACGTACCCATTGAGATAATTTCCTAGAAGTTAGAACTATAGCTGTCAATTCAGATTACTTATGAAACATTCAGACTGTTAATTATTTTATTTCAGAGTTCTTAACTATATATTGTTTAACTTTTGTTCTTCACTATAAATATTTTGAATTTTGTCATACGTGATTTTCAGGTTCTCTCTATGCTAAGTGAAAGACTTGGACTGCCGAAGGATAAAACAGTTCCCATGGTTGATTACAGGTCAATAAGATCTGAGGTCTTCTATCGCATTGTATTCTCTGGTCTCTATTGGGTTTTAATGTTGTCATGTATATATTGTCCTCCCCTCTCTTTTTGTACTTCCCGTATCTTTTCCTAGTTGTCAATAAAAAGCATCTGTTTGTTATTTAAAAAATTTGCTGCCCATGTAATTGATTATTTAATCCACGAACCTGTGATTTGTTCCCAATTGCACACTAACGTTATTCCCATTTATGACGGTTACTATAGGAAGTACTCTAGAGTTAAGCAATGGACTGTTGGTTTATCTGGAGGTGGAGACCAAATAGCTGTGATTAGAGCAGGAGGAAGCATTACTCGTGTAAAGAGTCCTTTAAGCGTTCCTAGCTCTGGTATTATTGGGGAGCAATTCATTGAGAAGATAAGGAGTGTTAGAGGTAAACTTGGCCTTTAAATATCTTTGAACGGTATGCTACCATATTCTTTTATTTATCTCTTTATGATCACCAAGCTTATACCATGTGCACAAAGAGAGAGATAGAGACATAGAAATATATATTTTTGAGATAACGGTTTGCAAATTGTGCTCATGAACTTTTGTTCTTGTTCCAAAAAAAAAAAAAGTGCTCGTGAACTTGGAATAACCACATAATACCACTTTTATCTCATGGGCACAGCACTCAGATTCATTGAGAACTTTTCGGTGGAGAAGTGGCTTAATATGATTTTCTTTTGTTCAACCCTCTCTTTTTTGTGCTTAGAGTCGAAAAGATTCAAGGCTGCCATCATCAGAATTGACAGTCCAGGAGGTGATGCTCTTGCTTCTGATTTGTAAGTGTTAGCATACCAACAAATTTAATTTTTTATGTGATACCTCAAGAATCTATTACTAGTGGCATCGTACCTTAGCATTAAACTAATTACATTTACTTGAGAACAAAATATACAATTGTTTGTTTTTTTAGTCATATTTAAATCACTTTCATTCTTCCCAAATCAGGTAAACTCAATTTGTCTTGAACCATCCCCTCTTCAACCAAAGAAACCAAAACAACGCATGAGAAACTGTACAATTTGTCCTTTCAATCTCTGAAGAGTTTTCTCTTCACCCCACTGACAGAAATGAGTAAACAGAAATAGAGTTGTGGAATAAGATTTGTTAGTTTGAGCAATGGAACGTGGCTCTTTCATATTCTCTGTATCAATCCACTGGTAAATTGAGTAATGACAAATGGATTACGTGACATACCTTTGCCAAGCTTGTTTGAGATATCAATGAACTTCAGACACTAAAGGTTTACTTTGGTCCGATATGCATTATAATTAACCGTTGTTATTGAATAAAATGTTATCGCTTGTTCGGATGTATTTTCTCCGGTTCAAGAATTAAAAAAAAAAACCTGTTTAATGAACAATTTCTAAAAATTCTCAATATTTTTATCCGTTAGCGTTTGAGGCACATGAGATAATTCACAGCTATTCTTATGGGACAACCACGGTTGCTTTTACATCTTTGTTTTCATTTCTTTGAACTTTTTCTTCATTTATGTATAATACAATTTAGAATATTTATTTATTTATTTTTTGTTGTTGTGAGAATTGATATATTGTGAGTTGATGCTCTGTTCGTGGCACACAGGATGTGGAGAGAAATCAGACTTCTGGCTGCATCAAAACCTGTTGTTGCATCCATGTCTGACGTGGCAGCCAGTGGAGGATACTATATGGCAATGGCTGCTGGGACAATTGTTGCAGAAAATCTAACCTTAACTGGTTCTATTGGAGTTGTCACAGGTAAACTATATATGAATCTGCAGCGAAGAAATAAAATGTTGAAATGTGCAATGCTTTATCTGCAACCCATTTAATGTGTAAATCTGTTTGTATTATTGTGGACTTTGGTGTTGATGGATCTTCTGGCTTCAGGGAAGCTTAACTTGGGGAATCTATATGAAAAAATTGGGTTTAACAAGGAAATCATATCAAGGGGAAGATTTGCTGAGCTTCTTGTGGCCGAACAACGTCCTTTCAGGTAGAATACCTCTTAGCCTCTATGAAACCAATATAATAATAGAAAATTGCTAAGTAGCTTGTGGTATATCATATTAATTGATGGATGAGGTAGAACGTAACTGAAAGGTGTAGTGGGCACCAAATCCCTTGATACTCTATAACACTAATGTTTGTTGAGTTCAACCACACTAATTATTGCTCCAAGAAATTGAACGAATATGAAATAGCATAACTAAATGGATGCTTCAACACAAAGTTGAACTTGATTTGAATTTCGAACGAATTCATAATCTCTTTCAGGCAACTAGCAATACCACCATCCCGGTTTTTCTCAGTCATACTGGGGTTGCATATGATTCACCACATTTGCTTTAACATACACTTCTACTGGAATAAGAACTAGCTCTTCTGCCTCATTTTTCACATTGTTCTACTCACTGTTGAATATCCAGCTCTCTGTTCTACTTTTGGCATCTTTCAGCCTTTCTTCTCTAATAATAAAAGGGTTACCAACTTCTGATACAGATTAGATCAAGTAGTTTACTTTATCTTCATTACTGCATCTTACCATCAATAATTAAAGATTATCAGTTTCTGATCAGACCGGACGAAGCAGAACTCTTTGCTAAGTCCGCACAAAATGCGTACAGGCAATTTCGGGACAAAGCAGCCTTTTCCAGATCAATGACGGTATGATGGCCATCAAAGATTTTTGTTTTCTCATGTCCATATATTTATCACTTTAATGTCTTAATGTCTCCCATGCCTGGTCTCTGTTCAACACCTAATAGGTGGATGAGATGGAGAAAGTTGCACAGGGAAGGGTCTGGACTGGTAAAGATGCAGCATCCCGCGGTTTAGTGGACGCTATCGGCGGATTTTCTCGCGCCGTTGCTATAGCAAAACAGAAAGCCAACATTCCTCAAGACAAACAGGTTTGTTTTTTTACAAACCCTTCGGACATTTGGTGCTTTCTTAATTAGAATTTAGATCTTCCATTCTCAAACAAGTAGAATTTAGACCTACAATAACAAGACATAGATGAACTGATTAGCGTGGGCGTGTTTTAAAAGGTTAATCTTGTGGAACTATCGAGACCATCGCCTACGCTACCAGAGTTATTAAGCGGAGTAGGGAGTACAATTGTTGGAGTTGACAGGACATTGAGAGAACTGCTGCAAGACCTTACTTTGTCGGAAGGAGTTCAAGCTCGGATGGAAGGGATCATGTTGCAGAGAATGGAGGGATTTTCTTATGGCAATCCCATCTTTAGTTTTATAAAGGATTACCTCACTTCCCTCTAACCAACCTCCTTTGGTCTGTGATAAAACTTGAAAGCCAGATTAATCATCTTTCAAGCACATTTATTGTCCATTATTTGGTACTTGTGATACACTCTCCCCAATTGAACAATAAATGTATAGATTAGGTATGTCAAATGGAGGCCATACAAAAATATTAGCCAAAGCTGATCTTGAGCCATCAACTATATATATGTAATTAATTGGGTGAGCTAAATTTAATCTTAAATTATTAATTTGTTTAAATTCTGAATTTAAATAAGTTGTACAATCAATATTCTGAGTAAAGTTGTGATTAGTTATGGACTTGAATGAGATTCAATTATTAATTGATTGGGTTTAAGTAACTCTGACTTGATTTTGAGTATTTTGTCCATTTTTTTTAGTTTAAGAATTGCGGAAGGGAGATTCAAACAATTGAAATTTTAGATGATAATAAATGCTCTATTAACGGCTGAACTGTTTATCATAAATAATTTAATTGTTTGTTATATGAACAAGTCAAAATTATGTCTTGTTCCAATGTGCGGATCTCAAAATTATGTCTTGTTCCAATGTGCGGATCTCAATCGTCTTTTTTGTGAACATCTCAAAATTATGTCTTGCTTTTTATTTGAACAAGCCGAAACTATACTCGAATTTATATGATTTGTTTGTTGGTATATTAACAACATTTTAATTTGTCAAAACGAACATAGTTCAGTCGTAATTGATATATATCTTCAATTAAGAAGTTGTGAGTTCGAGCTTTATTCTCACATATTGTACTGAAAAAATATTTTAATTTAGTCACGTCTTACTATCATGGTTCTTCAAAGTCTAAATATATAGTTCACATCTATTTGAACGAGTGTTTCATATTTAATCTAATTCGCTCGACATAATACCAGCAACTTCTCACTCTCTGCTTACTAGGTCAAACAACCAGATTTTTTTTAGTACTTCTACAAAAAGAGTACAACTTCTGCAATTTACCTGAAATCGAATCTAATTGCTTCAATTTCAGTACCTACCTTTGAAAATATTTTAAAATCTACATTATTTGTGTGATTTGGTTTTTAAAAACATTATTTAGAAAAAAATCCGTAAATACGTTATACTTATACGTCATATCGATCGATCAATTAATATCTCGCATTCTTGATACGGAACGGTCGCAAAATCTTCAAACGGTCGAAAATCTTAGCTGTCTCCCACAATTGCTCCCGCTCCAAAACCGATTGAATTGCGCGGGACTGAATTGGTTCAACGGCCGGTCAATATTTTCTTCCTCACAATCTCACCGAGAATTCTCTCTCTCGCGCCCGCCTTCTCCTTCCCAATGACCAATTCCTTATCCATTCGACGATCGTTCTTTCAATCGCACTCTCACCAGACCGATTCGTTCTCCTCATTTTCGGAGATTTGTTTCCGTCGAGCTCTCTTTCTCTCTCCTTCTTTCGTTACTTCAGCCTTCGAACTTCCTTTCAATATAGAAAACAGTCTTCAAGAAGTCGCCAGCCGAAGGTGGGCTCAGTCGGTGCGGCGGTTGTTTGGTCAGTGCGCATCGGCCGGACACACGGTTCTAGACTCAGAGCCGATCGAATTCTCCAGCGATTTGATGATGGCGGTAGTGAGGGAGCAAAACGGGGGCTGTACGTGCAGAAATTAGACGATATCAATTTAGGGTTTCGTTATAAACCCTCCGAGCCCCCGTCATCGATTCATAAGACGTGTGGGTGGCTAATTTTGAACTTTAGCGGAAACCTGAGGGAGTTGCTTCTGGTGAGTTCTATTTACAACATAAATGATTCACTTGCGCTATTTTGTAAATAGTTTTCTTTCATTATTTCGCGGTAAAACATTGTTTTCCAAGCATAAAAGATATTAAGAAAAAGCAAGTCTAAGAAGTATAAGAGTTACTGAGTTAGTTATAAACCCACTTCAGATCTTCGATCGAAAAGGGAAGAGATCAATCCGAGCCCTCCATCATCGATTCATAAGACGTGTGGGTGGCTGATTTTGGAATTAAGCCGAAACCTGAGGGAGTTGATTCTGGTGAGTTTTATTTACAACATAAATGATTTACTTGCGCTATTTCGTAAATAATTTACTTTCAGTATTTTGTGGTAAAACCTTGTCTTCCAAGCATAAAAGATATTAAGTAAAAGCAAGTCTAAGAAGTATAAGAGTTACTGAGTTAGTATTATGGTTCGATTTTGGAAAATATTTTAGCCTTCTTATGCTTGTGGTCTGTAATGACATTTGGTCCATGGGATTGGAGATATACAATTAGCAAGCAACCATTTTTGATACTCTGTTCTTCCATGAAGGTTTAAATTGCAAGAGTGTTTTGTTTTGAAGTTGGTCTAGTAGAAAGTTTATCTAGCAAAAAATAGTTAAAATCATTTCCAGTTCTATTATAGGCATTAAATATAAGTCCCGAAGATATCAAAACGTTAATTGTTTTTGGAGTTAGTCTAGTTGAACTTTTATTCTATTTGATTTAATTTGTTGGGTTGGTATATGTAATTTTTTATGAATAATCCTGGGTCTGTATTGAGTTTTTCCTCTCTCAAGATTAGATGTCATAAGTCATGTTATTTATCTTCTTGATTTTATTTCATACTAATTCTTAGAATTCAATTCCAATAGTGGTTGGAGAGCTACAACAATTGTTGATAATAAAATTTGGCCAATTGTCTTTATTTTATCCTGGTGAGTGGTAAACACTTTTCTCTTTTGAGTATATTTTTTACATCAACTTCATTTTGGATGGTGTTGGCTGATATTTAGTGTTCAACTTGTGAAGGTTTTTTATTTTGATGCAATATTAATAAGGATGTATGTCTACCTATTGAATTATTGATCACAACACTAAATATGTGGAGTTGATATAGCTACTTATTTCGTCCCATCTATTATCTATTGATTTTGAGTATATATTTAGTTTGCCACCATGACATTACCTATATTTTTTACTTTGAAAGATATTGTATTATGAAGGATTGAAAATCCTTAATTATTTTAATTAGGGTTGCAATGTTTTCCCTGTGAATGAGTCCAACATGTGTGCATCTTGTTTCCCACATGAACTTTTCTTCTCTGCGAATGATTATGTATTTAAAGAGGAATATTGACAATTTCTTACTCTTAGGATAAATAAGTTTGGATTAGAGGATGGATCGGGAACACAACATTCTTCTAAAAAGTTCTAGTTTGAGAAAAAGGATAAGAGTTTTTATTATACGGATTAGAGATAATGAATTGAGCTACAAATTTGGGAGCCTAAACTTGGTCTGGTTTAAGGACCAATTGAATTCTATTATTACGAGGTAGACTCTTTAGCAATATTAAAGTGAGGTTATAAAGTTTAAAGTTTTAGATGTGTGGGATAGTTAAAACGATTTTGAATCAGTACCACTTGATTCGTGGATAAGAATTTTTATAAAGACAAATACCGTTCAAATTCGAGAGTAAAAAGATACATGGTAGTGTGGCGGAAGGATTAGGTATTGGAATGAACATGTTAGATGGAAGAATGAAATATTCTTAGAAACAATACATGATGGTGTGCGGAATTGGAATGGACATGTTAAGATTGAAGAATGAAGCATTGATGGAAAAGTACACATTGGATAAGATGACATATGTCCCAGATTTATTGGAAAAAGTTAAACCAATTGTGAATCACTTCAATTTTATCATCGTAGTTCATGATTGTTCTTGGAAAGAAGGTTTGCTTGAATTAAGAAGCTTGGATATATTCTAGATTTGTTGGAAAGAGATAAACCAATCTTGAATCACTCCCATTTTGATGTCGTAGGTCAAGAATATTTTTGGAATGAAGGTTTGCTTGAATTATTGGAGACCTAATGGTATGTTATTTTTGTGTATTACAAGTAGTAAGTAAATTGAGAGATCTAAATGCAACAATTGATGGTGGCAAACAATGTCTTGGATTCAGGAGTTTTATGGTAATGTATTTGTGGAGGGAGAAAGATACCTTCTTAGGATAAAGGAATTGGATTAAAGAATTAGATCACCATATAACTTTTCTTAAGAGTTGTTACTTTTATGAGAAGATTACAATATGTATGTTTAGTATTTGGATGGATATAATGATTAAGCTCTAAATTATTTACATTTTTTTTACCTAGAAGGATATACTAGAAAAGTAATTTTTTCTTAGAATCACTAACATTTTAGGTTGTAGAATGAAATGAGAAAGAGATAACTTTAATGATTCTATACTCTGAGAAAAAAGATACATTTAGATGGATGGGCTAAGTATTGGACTGGACAAGTTAAGATTAAAGGATGAAGCATTCTTGGAAAAGTAGTTTTTGGAATAAGATGACATGTTCCATAACATGAAGCTTGGAAATGTTCTAAATTTATGAGAAAAGTCAAAAGAATAGTGAATAACTTCTATTTGGTCATCATAGTTGAAGATTTTTCTTGGACCTAAGGATTTGTTAACATTTCTAGAGATCTTTTGGTATATTATCTTGTGGTTATAAGTGAAGAATGAAGTATTCTTAGAAACAATACATGATAATGTGTGGAATTGGAACAGACATGTTATGATTGAAGTATGGACATGTTAAGATTGAAGAACAATACATGATACTGTGTGGAATTGGAATGGACATGTTAAGGTTGAAGAATGAAGCATCGTTGGAAAAGTACATATTGGAATAAGATGACGACATATGAGCGACTATAGTAAGAAGCTTGGATATATTCTAGATTTTTTGGAAAAAGTTAAACCAATATTGAATTACTCCCATTTTGATGTAGTAGTTCAAGATTGTTTTTGGAAAGAAGGTCTGCCTGAATTATTGGAAACCTAATGGTATGTTATCTTTGTGTTTTACAAGTAGTTGGTGAATTGATAGATCTAAATGCAACAATTGATGGACGACCAATGTCTTGGATTCATGAGTTTTATGGTTATGTATTGGTGGAGGGAGAAAGATACCTTCTTAGGATTAATGAATTGGATTAAGGAATTAGATCACCATAAATTTTTCTAAAGAGTTGTTACTTTTACAAGAGGATAAAAATATGTTCAGTATTTGGATGGGATATCAAGCTCTCAATTATTAAATTTTTTTGGGTCAGTAAGGAAATACTAGTAAAGTAAAATTTTCTTAGAATCACTAAAATTTTAGATCGTTGAATGAAATAAGAAGTTAGAGATAACTTTATCGATTCTATACTCAAAGAGGAAAAAGATACATTTAGTGTGATGGATGGGCCAAGTATTGGAATGGACAAGTTAAAGATCAAAGGATGAAGCTTCCTTGGAAAAGTATTTTTTGGAATAATATGGCATGTGCCATAAGACGAAGCTTGGAAATGTTCTAAATTTATGAGAGAAGTCAAAAGAATAGTGAATAACTTCCATTTGGTCATCATAGTTGAAGATTTTTCTTGGACCTAAGGATTTGTTAAGATTTCTGGAGATCTTTTGGTAATATTATCTCGTGGTTATAACTGAAGAAATAAGTATTCTTAGAAACAATAAATGACATTGTGTGGAATTGGAATGGTCATCGTTGTTGGAAAAGTACATATTGGAATAAGATGACATATAAGCGACTATAGTAAGAAGCTTGGATCTATTCTAGATTTGTTGGAAAAAGTTAGACCAATCTTGAATTGCTCCCATATTGATGTCTTAGTTCAAGATTGTTTTTGGAAATAAGGTCTGCCTGAATAATTCGAAACCTAATGATATGTTATTTTTGTGTTTTACAAGTAGTAAGTAAATTCATAGATCTAAATGCAACAATTGATGGTGACGAACGATTTCTTGGATTCATGAGTTTTATGGTTATGTATTGGTGGAGGGAGAAAGATACCTTCTTAGGATAAAGGAATTGGATTAAAGTATTAGATCACCATAAGTTTTTCAAAAGAGTTGTTACTTTTACAAGAGGATAAAAATATGTTCAGTATTTGGATGAGATATAATGATCAAGCTCTCAATTATTAATTTTTTTTGGGCCAGGAAGGAAATACTAGAAAGGTAACTTTTTCTTAGAATCAGTAACATTTTAGGTTGTTGAATGAAATGAGAAAGAGATAACTTTAGTGATTATATACTCAAAGAGGAAAAAGATACATTTAGTGTTATGGATGAGCTAAGTATTAGAATGAACAAGTTAAGATCAAAGGATGAAGCTTTCTTGGAAAAGTAATTTTTTGGGATAAGATGACAAGTGCCACAAGACGAAGCTCGGAAATGTTCTAAATTTATGAGAAAAGTCAAAAGAATAGTGAATAACTTCCATTTGGTCATCGTAGTTGAAGATTTTTCTTGGACCTAAGGATTTGTTAATATTTCTGGAGATCTTTTGGTAATATTATTTCTTGGTTACAATTGAAGAAATAAGTATTGTTAGAAACAATAAATGATACTGTGTGGAATTGGAATGGACATGTTAAGATTGTAGAATGAAGCATTGGTGGAAAAGTACATATTGGAACAAGATGACATATGAGCGACCATATTAAGAAGCTTGGATCTATTCTAGAATTGTTGGAAAAAGTTAAACCAATATTGAATTACTCCCATTTTGATGTCGTAGTTCAAAATTGTTTTTGGAAAGAAGGTCTGCTTGAATTATTGTATAACTTCCATTTGGTCATCGTAGTTGAAAAATTTACATGGACCTAAGGATTTGTTAACATTATTTGAGATATTTTGGTATTTTATCTCGTTGTTGTAAGTGAAGAATGAAGTATTCTTAGATGGGTTAAGTATTCGAATGGACAACTTAGGATTAAAGAATGAAGCATTCTTGGAAAAGTAAATTTTGAAATAAGATGGCATGTGCCATAAGACAAAGCTTGGAAATGTTCTAAATTCACGAGAAAAGTCGCAACATATGTGAATAACTTCCATTTGGTCATCGTAGTTGAAAAGTTTTCATGGACCTCAGGATTTGTTAACATTATTTGAGATATTTTGGTATTTTATGTCGTTGTTATAAGTGAAGAATGAAGTATTCTTTGATGGGTTAAGTATTGGAATGGACAAGTTAGGCTTAAAGAATGAATCATTCTTGGAAAAGTCAATTTTGGAATAAGATGGCATGTGCCATAAGACAAAGCTTGGAAATGTTCTAAATTTACGAGAAAAGTCCAAACAATTGTGAATAACTTCAATTTGGTCATCT